CGGAACCAGGGAAACACTGTTTCTGGTTCAAAAGAGTCATCACCGATCTGCTCCAAAATGTGCACGATCCTAATGCTGGTAAGTTCGTGGATAAGCCTTACGGAGCCGACAACTCCGCTATTGACGAGTCTGCGCAAAAGCTGTTGGAAAGTTTGAGAGAAAAAGACCTCTCAGCGGCCTTACCAACAAAAAACGTAGTTCAATACGATGTCAAATGGACCAGTGAAGGCATTAGCCCAGAAGCGTCTTCAGAGCATGCGCAATATCTTGAAAAGCTTTGTGCCGACGTTTACAATGTTTTAACCGGAATGATTCAGGAAGCTATCAATGAGAAAGAAGGTGACGCGAGAGAAGACTCACTTAATGAAGAGATATTACAGCATGCGCTATTCTGCCAAAAGAAAGGCCTTGCTTGTCAAGGACGAGACGATTTTCTTCAGTCTGTGAAGTCTTCTTTACTCGAGCGCAACGACAAACGCACAGTTATTCTACATGGAGAGTCGGGTTGTGGTAAGACTTCAGTTTTGGCCAAGATGGCTGTGGAGGTCAGAAATTGGCTGGAGGACGACTCCGCCTTTGTGGTACTGAGATTTATCGGGACCTCTCCTGAATCATCCAGCATCAGACTGCTACTGAGAAGCGTCTGTCAACAGCTATGCAAGATCACCAATAATGATGCAACACAAATACCCGAGGTTAGTGTCTACTCTATGTCATTGAACTACAACCATTATAAAGGCATAGTAATAAAGAAATTAGCCTTTTGAACACTTTTTTCCCTGATCCTTGATTTTATACTTCTAGGATCCCAGTAAAAATGAATAAATGAAAAAAGAGCACCTTAGGTTTCATGATTATAAACGCGCAAAGGGAGCTATGGGGCAGCCTACGTCAGGGGCGGCTGAGCTCGCGAGATTCGTGCTGGCGAACAAAGTGAGCGTGTGAGGGGTCTGTGAAGAGGCTGGCACGATAAAATTCGTGCAATGAACGAGCGAGTGCATATCGATTGGAATTCACGTTACGAATACCTCTCGTCGGTTCTTTTCGTTCTTCCTCTCGCCTCGATTCTCTCCCACTCCCCTGGCTCTTTAGCTCGTCTAACAAAGTGAGCGCCTGGAGCAGGCTATTCCACTTCCTTACGTGGCCCTCGATACACATTTTTTAAGACACAAATCATTCATGATTTCTCTAAACCTAATAGCATTGAAGAACATCACAGAGCGTACTTTTATTGTTGATTCCTTACCAACGTAATTGCAGGAAATCATGGAGTTGTTGGAGTTCTTTCCAAAATGTTTAGAAGAAGCTTGCGCATTCCGTCCTGTGGTGTTGATTCTCGATTCCCTGGACCAACTACCCGCCGATGAAGGAGGAAGACGTTTAGACTGGCTACCCGGAAAAATACCCGATGACTGTTACTTGATTATGTCCACCTTACCTGGTTCGGAATATGAGTGTCTACCACATTTGAAGGTAGAGATAGCTCTTCTCTCTTTAAGGGTTATCCATGGCAAATACCAGAGGAACACGGCCAAAGCTTTAAACTACCCCTTCTTACAAAATTTCGCCTATTTTTGATGAGCTTTGGCCTCTAAACCTGAGACTAAAATCAAATTAAATCAAACTGAGTCGTGTTTCAAACGAGATTAAGTCTTGAAATAACTGTGGGACAACACGCCTCTCGTATGTTACGTAAATAGTATGGATTGTTTGTTATTGTAGACAACAGACACATTAATGTTTTAATCTAGTTTTCAAGCTCTTTAAGTACTATTTTTCTTTTCGCCAGAATATATTTCCAGAGCGATGTTTTAAAGAGATACCCACCATCCCCTTGAATGAGGCAGCTGGCATTTTGGAGTGTTGGCTGAGGTCAAGTAATCGCGCGTTGATACCTTCGCAGAAGGAAGTGGTCTTAAATGCTTTCCGGGAATGTCCATTACCTTTGTATCTGAAGCTGTCTTTTGACCAAGCTATCCGCTGGAAATCTTATACACCAGAAGATGAAGCAACATTAGCCTCTGGCGTGAAAAACGTCATTAACGACTTTTTAGAACAGGTTGAGCGACGTCATGGCAAAATCCTCGTCAGCCACGCTTTAGCTTACATCACTGCATCGAAAAACGGCCTCACGGAGCCAGAGTTAGAGGATATCTTGTCACTGGATGACGAAGTCCTCGATGACGTCTATCAGTACTGGACACCCCCATTTCGCAGACTTCCTCCGCTATTGTGGATTCGTATACGTTCCGACATTGGAGAGTATCTCGTAGAAAGAGGAGCAGATGATTCCCGAGTGATATACTGGTACCATCGCCAGTTTATCGAACTGGCAACTGATCGGTACTTAGTTGCTCGGCCTGCGGATGTTCACTCAAAACTGGCAGACTACTTTTTGGGGAAGTGGTCAAACGGTGCTGAGAAACCTTACATTGATAAAGATGGAAACACAGTGCTCAAAGATAGGTTGGTGGCCGGACAACCCTTGATGTTCAGCAACGATGAAGAAAAGAAGTCAGTTTTTAACCTACGAAAATTGAATGAATTGCCTTATCATCTTTTACAAGCAGGCAACCTTGAGAATCTAAAAAAACACGCTCTTTGCAACTTCGAGTTCCTTTTAGCTAAGCTTCGTGCAACTTCTTTAGAATCAATCCTGAACGACTTTACCACCTCGCTTCTTCTGCATCCAGATGATGAAGACCTGGTCGCTTTGGAGAAAACGTTGCAGCTGTCATCCGCAGCTCTCAAAGCTGATGCTAATCAGCTGGCACCTCAACTTCTTGGAAGACTAATTCCACTGCACAATCAAGCCGAGCTCACTGGCATTAGCCTCCTGCTACAACAGACGTATTCCTCATCGGTCCCTTGTCTGATACCAAGTGACAAATGCTTGACATCTCCGGGCGGACCACTCATTTCGTCCATGAAAATACCAGGCAAATCTGTCTTCAAATGTTGTGGTTTTAGCTGCGATGGGAAAACAGCGTACATTACGTCTTCTTTTTCTCAACCACTTCATATTCAGATATTGAGCGTGAATTTATTGAATGGGAAAACACTCAGACGAGTGACTCTTCCAGGATCGCTGGGGGTAGGAGTCGTGTGGGTCGTTCAGGGAAGCAGTATCAACGAAGATCTCCTTCTGTTGGTAGGTTCTACTGACATTTTTCTCATTAAGCCATCAACGGGCCAAGTGCTCCAGAAACTCGCAGCCCTCGTCAAGGAAAGAATGTACAATCCAATGCCTCCTGTTTCGTTTGTGGATAACGAAACTAGTGTCATTGCCATAACAGACAAAGACATCAAGATATGGACGGCTGAAGATGGAAAAGTTGCACATAAGATTGATATTGGCAAGATTCCCACTGATGAAGAGTACGGCACTATAGGAGCATCAGGGTGTCACGCAGTCTTCAGCCTCCACGGTTCTAGAAGTTTCACAGTGCTCAACTGTAAAACGGGAGAGAGGGTTCGCGAAGTTAACGTGTTCAGCGGGGCGGGTGCATGTTTTGTGGGCGAAATCAAAGTTACCTCCAAAGAGCAAGTGGTCGTGACATCCTCGGAGAAAAATGGCCTTCGATTGTTTGACCTCCACACCGGAGATTTTATCAGAGAAATATCTCAGTTTAAAATCAACAAGGGCCTACTTCGGACCCATATTACAGCAGACGGAACAAAGGCTGTGAGTGTAGCTGACTACGAGATTTTGGTGACAAATCTGGAAGATGGAACAGTTTGCAAAACTTTGAAGAGTAAGTCGTTCGGAACGCTTATTATTCACGTTAATTTTTTCACAAACGATGGAAAATTAGCCATCTCCCTGGCTCAGGATGACGTAATCCGTATCTACAACCTTCAGCAGGCTCTCAGAGAGGGCACCGAAGACGTTTCCAAGCCATCATCTTACAACAAGGCCGTATCTTCAATTGATTCCATTAACTATCTAAACACGGGAACAGATGCAAGACATGTAATTGCGACAGCCACGGTCAACAACTCCAACCAAATTGCTATTTGGGACACTTTGACTGGAGTAATGGTGCGAGCGTTGAAAGTATTCCAAGAATTGCCACCCAGTACGATAAGAATTTATGGAGCAAGTCGTGCCGTTGGCTATATTCACGATCAAGAGTATCTTCATTTTAGAGTTTTTGATTTGAAAGAAGGGAAAGTTGAAAGAAATCTGCAGGGCAAAGCGTCCAAAAGAACGGAAGCGTTTGGGTTCATTGACGAGAACCACATCATCGCTTTCTCACGCGGAAGACGTAACCTCAAAGTTTGGAGCATCAATGATGGGAAGCTCACAAAGCAATTTAAGTTTGGACAAAAGCATCGATTCGAAGACATGCTTATCAGTAGAAGCGGAAGAGTAGTAGTTTGTAGTCAAATAAGCCCAACTGTTAGCCACGAGGAGGGTACCTTGCCTCTCTTTGCCCTCAACACGCAGTCAGGGGAACATAAAGTCTTGGAAATTGAGAACACCCAGCTAATGCTTTGGAATGGGTGCTTATCAGACGACGGGAGCTACCTCGTTAGTCTTTCCAAAGACTTCAAGGCATTGCTGTGGGATTTCACGAATGGTACTTTAAAGGGTAACCTAGTCGCAAATGAAGAAAATCCAACCGCAATCTGCACGGCCATATCAACAGCAAGCAAAGTGGTCCTAACCGGCCAAGGTGATGGGGGTATCACCGTTTGGGACATTGGAAATGGGCGTGTCCGTTCCACGATGGAATGTGCAACCGTTGATTCCCTTTTTGTCGCACAAGATGGCAAAGTGGCATTTTCAAACTATCGGTACACAAACAGCAACATCGATGCATGGGATCTAGAGACAGGCTCGAAGCTGGCCACTTTCACTTCAGATTGGAAACCAGAACGAATTACAATATCTGGAAATCGTCTTGTGGTGGCTAAAGCAGATAAACCAGAGCTGTTGATGTTCCGAACACATATTCCTAGAAGTTCAGAAGGTACCAAGCCTGTTGATTCTCCATTTAAGGACTGTCCATTGGAAAGTGTTCTGCAAGCTGATCAAGACTTGGTTCATGCTCGAGAAGGGGACGAAGATGAGGATAGCGAAGATGATTTTGACAAGACTGATTTTCAAAAAACTGAGTTCACAAGAAAAGCGGTCCATGCAAAACCCAACGTAATAATTGGTGGCGGTAGCTCGGTTTTTGCTTCCAAAAGTGTTTTCATTTCGGAAAAAGTTTACCGAGACAACTTTATGTGAAGCTTCTATAGCAGAAGTAAAGTTTGCTACGTAATCGGTCATGGCAAAAATTGGACGTGCAGACCTGTAACACGTTAGTCCTCCTTTTTAAATCGAAAGGGTCTTGCATAGATTGCTCTGGTTAGATCGTTTAATAGTTAGGAAACTAATCTTATACCCAAATCCTACCGTACAGCTTAACTAAAAGGCGTGGAAGGTCTGGGTATGAAAATAATAGGAAATTACATGGTAGCACCTTCGAATTACGTGGACCATACGAAGCGTTCATTTCCCTAATTTTAAAAGAAATACATTCCAAAAAAAATCAATGCTACGGAGAAAGTTAAAGATAAACCGTACACAGCCGCGCTCAAACGCATCACTCTAAATATTACAAGAAAGGAAAATGCAAATCGTTTTGTTCTAACTTTACGACACTTATATGATCGAAGAGAAGTTATACCTCAATTTTGCATAGGTCAATCTATTGTATTGAAAAATCCAGCGACAAAAGTAAATGAACATCGCATTTCGTGGATTTAGTGAGTTTTCGAACAATCTAATCGAATTTTTCAATAGGACTTGCTTCTAATGTAATTAATGTTCCATTAAAGGATTAGAAACCCACCCCTTTTGTAGACTTTCACACCAAGTCCTATAAAGTCATGCAATGAATAATCATGCTTTGATCCCTCAAACTTCTACTTGCTGCGGTGAAGTTTGAAAAGAAGTGAAGTTTTTACCATTGTTTTACTGAAGAGGTGAAAGAAAGCTAGCATCGTCTCCTTCTACACCTTCATTGCATGCTGGGAACTTAAGATTGATACTACTCACCAGATTTTCTTATTGGGTATGAGATCCTACAACTTTTAGATCCATAGCTGTCCTTATGGTTTGTTGGTAAATATTTATCAAAATTTGAACATCCCTCAAAAACACGCAATTTTCAGCATACAAATACAATGGATCTGGCAAGTTTCGCTCCAGACAATAGCGCACGTTTCTAGAAGCAGATATTATTATTATCTATGACGCCAATGCTAATAACCTTGATCCAACTCACTGAGCAAACGGAAAATCTTGTCAACTTATTATGCCCGCCTCGTGACATTAATAACGCAAAGGCGTCGCCTGACGAAACAAGCTTAAGTCATCTTTGCTAGATCAGAGCTCAAGCAAACTTAAGCTGCCAATAAATCGACGTATATTGACCGCTCTGAGGATTCTTTCAACTGTGCTGCGAGAGGAAACCCGTAGAAATTTTGTGTCGTGACATGGTGTACTCCTGCATTCCGAGGGCACAGAGGGTGATCTTAACATCGTGTCGCCATGGTGTCAAACTCTGATGACAGGTTTACATTACTTATTTATTCACTTCTAATAATCATTAAATTCGATTCGCGCTTCGAACTTAGAAACTGAGACTTACCGCTAGTGGGTCATTTTGTTGTTGCTGTTGTTGCTAAAAAAAAGATCATCGTTTGTTACTACGCACGGTAATATCGGAGAGAAGTCTCTTCCATTTAACGAAAATGTCAATTTTCAAACTTGAACATTGGAAGCACATGCAGGTAAGCGCCTAAAACCTTCTCTAATGGACACTTCGCCTTTTTACTTGATTCTTTACTACGAATGAGCTCTAACATAAAAGATTTGATTATCTTGCTGAACAAAGCGTCAATAAGTAAAAAAAAACACTAACACTTCTCGAAAACGGACACGATGTCGAAAATCTCTGCTTGAATAAAGCACAGAATTACAATTATCTAATTCATGATTATTGAGAAAATTCAAGGGATGGAAAATTGTTTTATGGATCGGGGTAATTTTGTGGCTTTATGCGTTTCGTGGTTTTGTATTTCACAAGTAAAAAAGTGGTTTTACAATGAGCAATCTTTAATTGAACCTACAACGCCTGTGATCGCTTCAAAATTTTCAAAAATTAATCTACATATTCATCACATGTTTACAAAAGTAATAGCTGCTGGGGTTAAAAATGCAAATTAGTTTTATATTTTCAGTTCGTAGCAAGTCACGCATTGTGTTTAATTTTTCCAAAAGAAGAAAGAGAGGGAATAACGCACTCATACCTTTGTCTCTTGCATTAAATTTGTCACAAGCTCTTTGGGTTGGTGTACTTATTTTAGTAAAGTACGCCCCACATAACAGGTTGTAGTTGCGTTATTTTCTGTATAAAACTTACTTAGAGGTTGATTTATAACTTTCATCACAGTCCTGACAAATCTGTTGAAAACATCTCGATTTGTCGGTCAAGTTAGAGGTTATCATACCGCCTGACAACGCCGGGAGCGCTGTTTCTGCGAGACGAAAGAAAAAATTAATTGTAGAACATAATGAAGTATTTTCATGTTACGTTATTTCTAAACTAACATAAGAATCGCATGTATAAATGGACGTCCAAAGCCACCTCAACCGAAATTTAGTGTTTTAGACACAAACTCATGGATAAAGTGACTGTGTCGCTTTAGTTCAGCTCTTAATAACGACTTTATAGTAATGATTACATATGTTGGCATCGTAACCGAGAAATAACTGAAAAATATATTTCAGCTGCTGGTTTAAACTTCAACGATAAGTTTCCTCCAAACACAAGCGTCTGTCAAGAACGATGGGTGTTCTTCTGTCCAAAAAGAAAAACAAGGAGCGACATGGCTTCCAGGTAACGGAAGATGAAAACTCCGAATCTCAGAGGAGTTCCGAAGACGAAAAGGAGCCGAAAAGTGACGATGATCATTCCGATAACGAGGAGAAGGACGAGAGTAAATCTGACCAGGAAGAAAGCGCCAGTGAAGACAATGAAGACAAAAAAAGCAGAAGCAGTTCTTCGGCAAGCAGCGAGAAAAGCAAATCATCTCAAGAAGATGAAGGTGTTGAGGAGGAAAAAGACGAAGACATCGAGATAGAAGAAGGCAGTGTTAAAGATGTCGTCTCGGCTCGGACTGAAGTGAACTTAAGTTACGAGAAAAGAGTAGAGAAAGCCCTGGTTGGTGATATGAATTTTGAATATCCAGAGCAAGCGAAAATCGTGAGGATCTTTACCAGCTCCACGTTCACAGGTATTTTTGTTTCGCATTGGTTCATAAAATAGTTCAAGTTTAGACCTGGGGATGATATAAAAACAACGAAATCATCCTTACAGGTGACCTACAAAATGAAGAAATTGCGAAAAGCACATCCTGCAAAAATTCATGCATCGACAGGATTCGAATCCGAGCTAAGGAGAGGCTTTATTCAAAAGATGAATTTTCGAAGACTACAAGACTTATTTATATATAGTTTTTAGCCCTAAAGAGTCTGGGATCACATAAAGCGGGTATGTTTATTCTTGTCAGTTTTGACCAACGTACGTTTCGCAGCGCAGATCAGCTAGAAGGAAAAAACTGATTGAGAGCTCTACATCTAGCGATTGGGGTGCTAGTTGTGCTAGTTCATATGTTTTGCTATTATGGGCTAGAGAGCTCCACGGTAGAGGGGTCCGTGGAACGTTTGTGGTTGGTTTAGCGGAGACGATTACACAGTGCATGACATGCACACGTGAACCCAGTTATTTCGTTGCCTTTCTTTGCTAAATATTGAAGACTTTATCAAAGTTGCTGCTTATAAATTTCAGAATCCTTAGTTTCGTGCAAGGGAAAGATAGTAAAGATCGAACTTATTGGCTTACGGTCTTTATTTTACTTTTAGACACTTCAGTGGAGCGCAACACATTGATGGAGCGAGTGTACCCCCGACTCAAGTCCTACTGTCAGGAGAGAGGACATGACTTTCAAGTGGTGGACATGAGATGGGGAGTCCGTGATGAGTCCACTGATGATCACATGACCACTGAGCTGTGCATGAGAGAGCTGCGCGCATGTCAGAAGCTGTCCACTGGACCCAACTTCATTGTAAGTTAGAGTAAGGAATTAAATAGACCAATGAGCTCTCGCTAAAGGATCATTTTATACACATTGGTAAGTTTGGTACCAATAAAAAGCAAAATAGCATGTAAAGATTTTGCTTTTTAAAGGCAGTTTTCAGACCAACCGGTTTTGAAATTTTTTTTGACTTGTGTGATTGCAAATCCTTTTTTATTTTTTTTTTTTTTTTTCAGACGTTTCTTGGACAAAAATATGGTTACCGTCCATTTCCTACGAAAATAGTGGCCTCTGAGTTTGAGAAGCTCCTTGGTGCGGTTGAAAATCAGGACGATGTTGCGCTACTGAAACACTGGTTTTGGCGAGACGACAACGCGGTTCCCGCCCAATATCTGTTGCAGCCAATCACATCGCTACTGCCCCACTATCGCGACTATGCGAACGAGGAGTTACGTAAGAAAGCGTCTGCCGATTGGTGGACAGCGTTTGAGAGAATGCAGGTTGTTTTGAGGGAAGCCGCTGACAAGGCTTTGGATGAGAAGAGTGAACGGCATAAATATCACATGTCAGGTATTGATATGACTCAGGAACACAATTATAAGTTCTTAGCACATTTTGACCTCATCTGTGATCTGCTACTGAACAGACGCACGGTAATAAGGAATTCGTAAATGAGATCATCCTTGCAGGTGAGCCGTAACTAACCCTTTAACCCCCAGAAGTGATTCACATGTTACTTCTCCATACAATATCCATTCACTATCCAGCAAACAGGTAATGAGAATACTCAAATGTATCAGGTAGAAGTTGTTACCTTGATCTAATACCAAATTCTTGCAACTAATTTACAAGGAAATGTTTGGCAGCTAGAGGGAAGAATTAAAAATCCGATCCTGGGAGTTAAAGGATTAAAGAAACTGCAGAAAGGAAACATGTAAATATTCAGGAAGCCTGAATTTTTTCAGGATACTTTTCTGCCATTTCTTTCATCGCTGCTTACCTGCCAGGATCATTTCTTAACCTGTATGATTCAAGCAGTTGAGGTTCTGAGAGGTGACCCCATCAAAACATACACAAAACGTTTTGACGTAGTTACGTAGGTTGATCACATTGAATACCTCTTATGGCCATAAAATACCTTTCTGTTGTACAATTATTTGTGTCCTTTCATAGTTACCGAAGACGAAATCCGAAGAGGCATTATAGACGCTTCACATCCTTCAAGCCATTGCTTCTGGTTTAAAAGAGTCATCACAGATCTCCACGACAAAATTGAGAGTAAAAGCGCTGGAAAATTCATTGATAAGACGTGGGGAGCCAATTCATCGGTAGATGAAACTGCTCAGAAATTACTTAACGTTCTTCGGGAGAACGATCTTCCTCAGGCGTTATCAAGCGCAAACATTGTGAGTTATGACATCAAATGGTCTGAAGATGGCGTCGACCCATCTACCTCAGAAGAACATTTTCAGTACATAGAAAAACTTTGCAAAGATTTTTATGATACCCTGACTCAGATGATAGATAAAGGGATTGAGGAGAAAGAAACATCTGGTGCGAGAGATTCGTTTGCAGAGGAAGTATTTCAGCATGGTTCATTTTGCCAGAAAAAGTGCAAATCATTTCATGGTCGTAAAGAGTTTTTGGAGGCTTCGAAAAACGTTCTAGTGAATCATGAAAATCAAGCTGTTGTGCTCCATGGAGAATCGGGTTGTGGAAAGACGTCGATTATGGCGAAAATTGTCTCCGAAGTTAAACAATGGCTTGAAGACGACTCTGCTATAGTGGTTTTACGTTTTATTGGTACCACACCCGAATCGTCTGGCATCAGGCCCCTTTTAAGAAGCATATGCGTTCAGTTGTGTAGAGCGACCGATCAGAATACTACAGATATACCGGAGGTATGGTTTGCAATTATTGTACCTATAACTGGAAGGGTCGAAAAGATTATTGATGTGCCATAAGAATGAATGAATCGTCAATTAATTCCGTAATATATCGTTATATATCACGAGGTTAACACATATGTTAAGTCAGCAATAGCGGGAATAAGGGCCTTACTGTGTTTAGGTCGAGGAAAGAAAAGGAAAAAATTATTCAAAACTGTTCCATTTTATGCCTAGGATATTAAATCCCTGAAAGACTACTTTCAAGAATGCTTGAAGAAGTCAGCTGAAAATCACCCCGTTGTTCTGGTTTTGGATTCATTGGATCAACTCTCCATAGATGACGGTGGCCGGCAAATGGACTGGTACCCAAGACAGTTACCAAGCGATGTATACGCCATTCTTTCCACGCTACCCGGCGAGGAATATCAGGCCTTACCAAGTCTCAGAGTAAGTTGAAAGCAGCATCCGGAAAATTCACGCCTTTGTTCTTTTCTTTCCATGTCAATAAATTTGGATACTAGGACTCCTGTAATTTGGAGTCTTTATTTAAAGGTGCCTAACTGTGTTGAAAAACATATTTGTCGTGTCAAACGCCTCCACCACAAAGATAAGTACTGTATTTCACAACTCAACCATTTGTTATTTTTTGTTAATCACGAGGTCACGTAAAATCACATGACCATAACGTCACTAACTCAATGGCACGCAATGCGTGCAAACAAGATAAAAACTATTAACAAAAACAACTAAACAAAATGTCAATGTTCGGTCGCAACAAAATTAAAGCAACTATCTGTTCGCTTGTGCTTTCCTCGCATTAAGCTTCTGCACAGAATCGAAGAATATAATCTTAAATGCTTTCTGTTTGTGCTTTTACCATAAGTCTATGATATATTTTTTTAGTTAGAAGCATGATTTTATTGATTCATTTTCTTTGCACATGGTAGACAATCCTTCCGAGTGAATGTTTTTTGGAAGTACCAAAGATTCCTCTTAATGAAGCAGATGTCATCCTTGACAATTGGCTCAGAGCAGGTAATCGAGCAATCCTACCAAAACAGAAAACCTATGTCATGGAATCTTTTCAGAAGTGTCCCCTTCCCTTGTACCTTAAGCTGGCTTTTGACGAAGCCCTGCGATGGAACTCGTACACTCCTTTCTCCGAGCTTTGCCTCGAGCCATCTGTGCGGGAAATCATTGATGACATGTTCAGCCGGGTTGAAAGACGACACGGGAAAGTTTTGGTCAGTCATGCGCTGGCCTACATCACAGCATCTAAGAACGGCTTGACAGAGACTGAGTTAGAAGACTTGCTCTCGTTAGACGAAGAAGTCCTTAATGATGTCTATCAGTACTGGACACCTCCAGTGAGAAGACTTCCACCACTTCTGTGGATTCGCATTCGGTCTGACATTGGTGACTATCTTATTGAACGAGGAGCTGACGGCACCCGGGTGGTATTTTGGTATCATCGTCAGTTCATCGAAGCTGCAAGGGAAAGATACTTGGCAGGTGATCAAGCTACTAAAATTCACGCCATTATGAGCGAATACTTCCTCGGGAGGTGGTCTGGCGGAATCAAAAAGCCATTTCTTAACAAAGAAGGCAAAGAGATGTTCATGGACAGATTGGTACCAAAGCAACCATTGATGTTCGACTCGAGTGACGACAACGAGATCTTTAATCTTCGCAAGTTGAGTGAGCTTCCATTTCACTTGTTTCATTCTGGAAACCTAGAACAAATGAAACAAGAGTGCCTTTGTAACTTCGAGTTTCTTTTGGCAAAACTGAGAGGAACCTCTCTACAAGTTCTTATGAGTGATTTTTCGTCTTTCCTGGACGCAAAACCGGAAGATAATGATGTGGATCTCCTTCACGAGTGCTTACAACTCTCTGCTTATTCGCTCTCCCAAAATGGTAATCAACTACCCACACAGTTAATAGGCCGCATGTACAACTTTTTAGAGAGACAGGAACAGTACCCTGATATGCACAAGGTCTTGAAGCAAGCGCTGAATTCTTCGACAGCTTGTTTTCTTCCAAACAGAAAGTGTTTGACAGCGCCTGGTGGAGCACTGCGTTCTTCCATCGGATTAACGCAGTCTGGCAGCGATGTCATCAGCATGGCTAAAGATAACCGCACTATTGCAGTGTCAAGCCAAACATCGGATGGCCTTGTTGTCAGAATCATTGATTACGTTAGTAATAAAGAAGTAAGAAAGTTTACTCTTCAACAGCCGGTCGAAATGTATAGCACAAATTTTAATCAAATAAGTCAGAAGAATCCTGATTTATTGCTGCTTGGTGGATCGCATAAAATCTTCCTGCTCAACACACTGTCTGGACAAATAGTGCAAGAATTTCAAGTTTCTGATGACGATTGGTTTTCTTACAACCCTTTTGCTCCAATTTCATTTGCTGATGATGAAAACTTGCTGGTTGCTATCTGTCCTGACTCACTGAGGGTATGGCAGGTAGAAAATGGTACACTTCTCCACACCCTACCCCTGAAAGGCGTCAACACAGAAGACGAAATTGGTGCCATAGATGCTCGTGGAAGCTTTGCGGTCTACAACGTACGGGGGACAAACACGGTGCACTTCATCGATTTGAAAATTGGCCGAGAATTGCGAAAGATCACCATCTCATACCCTAAGAGTAAAGGTTCCAGCGAAAAAGTCTTTGTCAAGGAAATCAAAATAACATCCCTTGATCAAGTGGCTGTGATCCCATCTTCATTTGATAGTTTGCGACTTTACGATCTCTCAGCAAACCTGATTCGTGAACTAACAAATTTCAAGATGCAAGAAGGTCTTCATCGAATGCAGATTACCGATGACGGCACGAAAGTCGTGACAGCTGATATGTATGAAATCTGTATTCTGAACCTGGAAACAAACGAAATGGAGAGATGTCTCAGAAGTCCAATTTTTCGGATGCGAATTTACACATGTGATGGAATCCACATATTGGCGGTGGGACAAGACAACATCCTACGTGTCTACGACAAAAGTCGAGAGGAAGATGACGAAAACCAAAAGGATACTGCTCTCAGCACAATACAAGGCAACACGATTGCTGACCAACTCACAGCCATTTCGCCCGGTTTTGATCAACGCCATGTACTAACATCTGCTGTTATTCAACTTCGGAACGAGCTAGCTGTCTGGGATGGGCTAACTGGTAAAAGAGTTCGCCGTCTAATGAATCTTACGGTGTTTCCGAATCCCATTCGCATGTTCACCGCCACCCGCGCTGTCGGCTTCATCTACGATCAGGAAATCCCACATTACAAAGTGTTCAACTTTGCTGAGGGAAAAATTGAGAGAAATCTGGAAGGAAAAGCATGTAAAAGGATGAACGCGTTTGGATTCATTGATCAAAGACGGATGATCTCGTTTTCTAGAGGAAGGCGATTCGTCAAAGTATGGGATGTTGACAGTGGCAAAGTGCTGAACGTGGTGAAGTTCAAAGAAAAGCAACGATTCGAGGACTTGTTGATCAGTAATAACGGCAAAACGGCTGTGTGTTCACTAGCAAGCCAGATGACTCAGCATCGCGACAAAGAACTACGCTTGACTGTTATTGACACAACCAGCTTCAGCAGCAAGAACCTTCTGTACAAAGGCGAACAGTTAAGTCTTTTTAACGCACGGATATCAGATGATGGAAACTATCTGG